GTAAAACTCATTTTTAATAAAATTAGGTGTTTTAAAGAATGTAAACTCGACCGAAAAAAAATGTGTAAAAAAGTTTTAAAAAAGAATTTGTAGAAAAGAAAGTTGTTTTACGGAGATTGATTAAATTTAAGAAAAATTTTTTATAGCAACGGCTCCGCAGAATGTCGAAATGTGTAATTGAAATTTTAAGAAAAAACATGTTCCTTCTTAGGCTAAGGACTAAAAAAGATGTGAAGAAAATTTTTTTAAAACTATCGATAGCGGCCGCGTTTAAACTGAAAGCTTGAAAAATGCTATTTTAAAAAATGGTATATGATTTTCCGCAGAGTAACGACAATTGCTTTGAAAAATATAGGTTTAGCTCAAAGTCATGTAACTATCCAAAATAAATTCCATAGGGAAAGTTTAAAAAAAACATTCTGAGAGAAAAATGTCATGCTTTTCGAAATTGAGTTGATTTATCAAGAGATTTTTCTTATCTAGCTACAGAGCCTCAAAAATACAATTTTGAGGAAAAAAAACGTTGTTGGCTTTTTTAGGGCAATAGTAGTGAAAAACATAAAAAGATCTTAAAAAACTATTGATTTACGTCAAAGTTGAAATTTTGAGCTTCAAAACGCTTTTTCTAAAATTTTTTTCATCATTTTTCGCTGAGTACAATCGTTTGAAAATAGCCCATTTTCGGTATACAAAAGAGGTCCCTATTTTCTTGAAGTGTATAAGCTTCATAATAATAATAATTTAAACCGGAAAATATGGGGCATTGTATAATCTGAATATATTTTTACAATTAAAATGAAATTTCACACATGCATAATGTCGCAAAGTTCAACGATGCGCAAATAAAAAACACGATTTAAAATACGCTATGTTGTTTAAACGCAGTTTAAAAAACGCAGTTTAAAAAAACATACTAGTTCGCATTATTCGATGTATTAATTTGCGGTTTTAATAATATATCAAAGTCGATTGAATTTTTGTTCAAATTCATTTTGTAAAATGTAAATGTCAAAAATATGTAAATTTATCTCTACAAATAGTAATAGAATTTTAAAGTGGAAACACCTTTGGAAATTCACGCAGTCAAGAATTAATGTTTACATTAAATATTAATTATTAATTAAATAATATTTTTGATAAAAGTATGCCAATTTATTTTTCTAACAGCGTACAACTTTAAGAGGATTTTTTATAATTTTATTTTTCTTTATTGTTTGCCGACCGCAACGAGGTGTGGTACGGCTATCGTAACCAAAACTTCAGCCTTTTGTCTACAACGTTTTTATTGTAACAATTAGTATACTCTCTATAATTGTATAATTCTCTTACACAAATAATTCTCGTGTTTTACTTTTAGTCGGATCTCTTATATAAGTCTTCTTTCCATTATTATCCTCTCCTTCTTGTATCGCTGTCGTTTAAGATTAGAGCGTTGACTCTTGAGTGATTCGATCGCACAGGTTTATATCGATTGATTCACGATGTGCGCACTATTTATTGATTGATTTGTTATAACGACTTCGCCGCGGACTCGGGATGGACGCTTTATTTTCTCGTTTTTCGGATGTTGGAGGCCGCCTAGCGACATTCCTCTAAATCATTAACTCTTAAATCGATTTTACTATGCAAGTATCTACTATAAGATAATAATAGAACATATTAATGCATATTTACAAATAACTTCCATATAATGTCTTGCATATGTATTAATGTTTTTATTAAGAACACATACAATAATCAGACAGCATTTAATATAATTTAAATTGATTAGAATAAAGAATGCTATCGCATAGTACATATACTCTTAAATCATTATGACGCATAGCATATAAGATTTCCCTAATAACAAGCATGTTGTGACAGCTTCTTTATAAGCAAACTCTTCCAGCAATATTGAAATTAGATTAGTTAATAAGAATGCTATTCGCATTAGTACAATATTCTTAAATCATTACTACGCATAGTATATAAGATTTTCTACATAACAAGCTTGTTGTACAAGCTTCTTTATAAGCAAACTCTTCCAGCAATATTAAATTATAATTTCTTTTAAATCTAATATGATATTGAAATATTCCTATAAAGTTTTGCGTAGTAATGATTAAGAATATATGTACCAATGCGAATAGCATTCATATTACTAATCTAATTTCAATATTGCTGAAGAGTTGCTTATAAAGAAGCTTGTACAAAACAAGCTTGTTATCTAGAATCTTATATATTATACGTAGTAATGATTTAATAGCTAGTTACTAATGCGAATAGCATTCATTATTACTAATCTAATTCAATTAATTTTAAAATCCTCTCTGCATTATTGTATGTGCTCTTAAAAAACATTAATACATATGCAAGATAATATATGGAAGTTATTTGTAATATCATGATTCTATATGTTCTACTTACCTTATATTATTATTGCTGGAAGAGTTTGCTTATAAAGAACTTGTACAACAAGCTTGTTATCTAGAAATATATAGCTTTCATTTATATAAACTTTTCTATAAGGAAACTTTCCTGTAGTATTTAAATTGATTAATACGTAATGTTGAATTCTATTTAAGTTAGTAGTATAGTCTTAAATCATTACAATATGTTATTTATAAAAATACATGTATTAAACTTTATCTTACATATACCATAATAATGTACTAATGTGGATAGATTTAAATTTATTAATTTAATTTAAATATTGTAAGAAGAGTTTGTTTATAAAGAAGCTTGTATAAAGAAGTGCCTATCATAATTTTTTTAGAATATTAGAATAGTTAACAGAATTTTAGAATAAATACAACTTAATATTTAATATATATATATTTTTTTAAATAGTTTAGTTTATTGAAAACCACTAATGAGAATTGTATATAGGTTATATTCAAAAAAATATTTTAAAAAAATATTCAAAATATATTAAATATATTCAGTGAATTTTTATCAATAAAACAAACAATGTATGTTTTATAAATATTTCCTATATATAATTCTTTAGTTTTCAAAGGATCAAGTTATTTTTAAAGTTTTACATATGTAGGATATTTTCGAGTGCATATGCCGACCAACCCGTTCACATATTATCCGCTCACGGCTGCACCGTTTGTGAAACCTGAAGCGTCTCGCGCTGCGTTATGCTTTCCGCGTGTGCACCTTTTCGGACGCCCCGCGCGGTTCTTGAAACATCTTGTAACAATTCGCGACGATACACGACAGAAGGACGAGTGTGAACTGCAGCGATGCAGTTCAGACAAAGAGGAGTTCCTAACGATCGTTCGAAGAGTCGAAACATGCTCTCACTGTACTCCAGTTTTGTAATTATACTCTGTATCATATACCGATTCCAATAAATTATACTTGTAGATAACATCCTACATATTTTTGGGGCTCGTCCAGGATCGGATCAAATCATGGTATAGAGTGTGATATCAGATATACGAAGAAGTGCGTTCAAGTGCAGAGTTCAAGTGCAACGTAAGAAGTTTTAAGACATAAAGTTGTGAAGACGTAAATAACGATGGAATCAGGCACTGGCGCAGCAAACGACGATTTGAGTACAACGTTGATGAGCATGACGACGATCCAACTAAAACAGGAACTCAAGAAACGAAAACTAAAGACGGCTGGACTGAAAAGCGAGCTTATCGCAAGACTGTTGCCGTTTATGCAACTCGAACGCGAACACGGTGAAACAGAGCATGACGACGATAATCCAGGTAAAGACGACGACGAAGACACACGCAGACAAGAACACGACGGCGGAAATAATACTAGTGACTCAAGTGATGAAGATGAGGCACCAATCGAAAGAAGATTTAAGAAAAGAAACCCGAAGAAACCAATTATTGACGTTCAGAGATGTTGAAGAATCCCTGGAAACATTCAGCGGAGATGACAGAACCAACGTGAAAAGATGGATCAAAGATTTTAAAGAAATGGCGGTATTGTGCGAGTGGTCCGACATCCAGAAGGTAGCATACGCGAAGCGCCTTCTTCGCGGTTCAGCGAAGCTATTCGTAAATTATGAAAAGTGTACGAAGACGTGGAAAAAATTACGGCGAGCATTAATAGAAGAATTTGCCAACATTGTAAATGGTCACGCAGTGCATCAGGAGTTATCACGACGAAAGAAGACATCCGACGAGTCATACCAAGCGTACATATACAAAATGCTCGAGATCGCAGCACAAGCTGATGTGGATACGCAATCGGTAATCCAATACATTATCGAGGGTATCCAAGACGACGCAGTTAATAAGACAGTATTACATGGAGCAAAAACGATACGCGAATTGAAGGAAAGATTCACTCGATACGAAGCTATAAAAATGGAGGGAAAATCAAAGATGAGGCAGTCGAAACTGGAGGAGAAGAAGAAGATGATCCGAGGCGACGCGGGTCCGATGGAGGCGAAGAGATGTTTCAACTGCGACAGTAAGGACCATCTGGGTAAAGCGTGCCCGACGAAAGACAGAGGTGTCAAGTGTTTCAAGTGCAATCAATATGGACACATCGCTAAATTGTGTAAAGTAGCCGTAAGTACACAGAAGGAAACCGCATGTATAGCCATTAAGGATCCGCAGCAGAAACAGATCAAAGAAATAAGAATTTCAAATCAATGTTTCGTTGTTCAGCGTTATAGACACCGCTAGCGATTTAAGTTTGATTAATCGAGATTGTTACAAGAAGTTAGGTTGTCCCGAATTAAATAATGGCATAAATTTTAACGGCTTAGGCGCGATAAATAATAGCACGCGCGATTCCTTCACAACAAATATTGTTATTGATGGCGAGACATTGAAATTACGTTTCATATTGTCGATAATGAAATAATGAGATATACGGTCTTGATCGGTGCTGACTTTTTGAATTTGGTTGACTTACGTTCGTTAAAGGGCAAAGTAATAATTCGAAAAGCTATCGAAGATAATTTAGATGTGCCCGAGGTATTGAAGATCGACGTAATCGAAAAAGTAGACCCGTTTGATTTTTCACGTATTCTCGACGAAAACGCTCGACGAGAAGTAGAGATTATCGCCAAGAATTATAATCCGAGAAAAACACGTGAAGTCGATACTAAAATGGTACTAGTTTTAAAAGATGAAATCCCGATTTATCAAAGACCGCGCAGACTATCTCAGCCGGAAAAACGAGAAGTCGATAAGCAATTAAAAGAATGGTTAGATGACGGTATAATAAGACCCTCTAATTCCGATTACGCAAGTCCTGTCGTTCTAGTTAAAAAGAAAAACGGCCAGAATCTGTGTAGATTTTAGGAAGCTAAACCAGAAAATAATAAAAGATCGCTATCCGTTGCCACTAATTGAAGATCAATTAGATCGTTTACAAGGCGCGAAAATTTTCAGCACGCTCGATCTGAAAAACGGTTTTTTCCATGTCGAAGTAGCTGAAGAAAGTAGGAAGTACACTTCTTTCGTTGTTCCAACAGGCCAGTACGAATTTATGCAGATGCCTTTCGGACTTTGTAATTCTCCCGCGGTATTCCAAAATTTATAAACGCTGTATTTAAAGATCTGATTTTTAAGGGAACAGTATTAACTTATATGGACGATTTGATTATTCCTTCGCAAAGTCGAACAAGCAATTGACGATCTAAAGCACGTGATAAAGGTAGCAAGTCAAGCCGGTTTGCATATCAACTGGCGAAAGTGTCAATTTATCCAAACGAAAATTGAATATTTAGGACATGTTGTGATTAACGGAACCGTAGCACCGTCGGAATGTAAAACTAACGCCGTTATGAGATTTCCGACTCCTAAATGTGTCAGGGATGTACAAAGTTTTGTCGGCCTTACGAGTTATTTCCGAAAATTTATTTCCCGATATTCCATGATAGCACGACCGTTGAAATGATGTAGATTTTCGATACGGAAAAGACGAAGAGCAGGCATTTCTAAGTTTAAAATTCGCGCTGAGCAATAAGCCCGTTTTAAAATTATATAAAGTCGGAACTGAAACGGAGTTACATACAGACGCTTCAAAATTCGGTTACGGTGCAATTTTATTGCAGAAGGATGATTCGGATAACACTATGCATCCAGTTTATTACGCAAGCGGCAAAACCACCTCAGCCGAAGAGAAATATACTAGCTATGAGCTCGAAGTACTTGCAGTCGTTAAAGCGTTGAAAAAATTCCAAGTATATCTATTAGGTATTTGCTTCAAAATCATTACTGACTGTAAGGCGTTTACTCTAACAATGAATAAAAAAGATTTATGCGTTCGTGTAGCTCGGTGGGCTCTAGCCTTAGAAGAATATGATTACGAAATTCAACATAGACCAGTACACTGTAAAAAAAGTCGGTAAATTTACACAAATAATAGACGTAAAAATTACATAAATAATGCAGTAAATACACAAAATCATGTAATTTTAAAAAAGTTATATTATTTTACAGAAATTTTGTAATTTTACAAAAAATTATGTAGATTTGTCTATTATTGTGTAAATATATCTTATTTTATATGGAAAATTACATAAATAATATAATATTTCAAATATTTTATGTAATTATCCTAATTTTTGTAATATTACCAAAATATAATGGTAATATCTCGCTGCAGAATATGCGCGATGTGATGGCATTAATGGATTTGTTCTTTTTAGCTGAACTGGCTGTACTAGCTCAGAGTTTATCTTTTCTTCTCCATATAGAAAGGAGAAAGACAAACTCTGAACTAGTGCAGTCAGTTCAGCTAAAAAGAACAGACCTTATATCTCGAGATAGGCGCGCAGCAGCTACTCGTAGTTGATTGTTAGCGATCGCGTAAGCAGCGCTGTCGCATGCGTGTTATAAGTCTGACGTACTAGTAATGAATTGGCTAAACCGTCGAAATGACGATCGGAAAGCTGCCAGTTCGTGTTCGTGGCGTGATTGCATATTGCATCAGCCATTAGCCATTGTACTTTCTAGCCCTAAGCATTGTCCGATTGTCCGGATCCCGAAGTGCGTGAATTTTTATATATTTCTGCTGTGAGAGAGAGAACATCCGTATAACATTCATCGAGATTATCGTCTTTGTTCAATTTGCCTAAATCGTTATTGTTTGTTCAATCACGCAATCTTTTGGTCTCACAAGATAGGTAAGTAAAATATTTTAATAATTAGTTTCGAAACATATACATTATAAAGAATAGCTGTTCATTGTAATTTCGTTCAATCTTTATAATATCATTATTTTTTATATTGTAATGTTCAAACAAAAAATTTTTTGCATATATATTTGTAAATTAATAGAATCTTTCATGCTTTTTAAATAAAATTTTATCGTTTTTACATAAATTCAACTTACAATCGTAAAAATTATTTGAAAAATCACAGTTTTACATACATATAATTTTGTATTTTTAATTTTATAAATATTAATTTTTAAATTTGTTAAAATCTAAGTTTGTGCTATGTAATCTGACATATTTTTAACTTAAAATTTGCAGTGATATATAATAAAAGAAAGAGGATTCTTCTAATGACCTTGAGCAGATCATCTCTAACTATTAACTTCGTTCTGTTTATTTCCTCATACAACGTTTTCTAAAGCAACATTCCAAACAGTTGAGTGAGTCTACAAAAAAAATTTACCAAGGACAAGGTAAGATCATAATATGATATGTTTTATTAATTGATTTCAAAACATGTGCAACATACAAATGTTATAATTGTCATTGTAATATCATTCACTTGTGACTTGTGACATTCAGTTTTATTTTCCTTTTTTCAATAATTCTTCATATGAAATATGTTGCAGTTACTACTTTGAAAGGAAATATCCTTATATGAATCCTATCTCAGTCCAGTTTTATTTCTCCTTTCACACAAACTCCTTCCTACACAATTATAAATTTCTTTATTTATTTATTTGAAGATTAAATATTGAACAATGTTCAAATGTGTAATGTGCAACAGTACATTTTCATCCATTCTTTTGTATAACAAGCATCAAATTTTTCATAAAAACATGCCTTATTTAAAAATTATTTGTCTGTTCAAAAACTGTGGGCAACATTTTAATAAATATGTTAATTTTAAAAAACATATTCTTAGATGCCACACCAAAAATTATAAAGAAAGAACATGTGTTACTTATTGTTGCAAAGAAAAAAACTGTAACAATTATTTTACAAATACAGTAGATTTTCATAAACATTTATATAATCATATTAGGCAAAGTAAAATTGGGATTTGTTGTGGATATCGATCTTGTCTTCTAAATAACACAATTTTCAAGACAGTCAATAATTATGCAGTGCACATATGTAGACATCATTCATATAATAATAATGAAAACAATTTTGATAAGCAGTTTATTGTTAATAACGAAGAATTTAATTTTGATGTGAGTAACAATTTCAATCTTGTTTCTCAAGAGATAACTTCAAATCAAGTTTTTGATGATATAGAAAATACTAAAAAAGCTATTTCACAATTATATTTAAATTTGACTGCAAAATATTTTCTAACAGAATTTGCTCTACAAGCTGTAATAGATGGTATGTCATCTATACCGAAACTTATTCATGAACACTTTATTAAGTCTTTAAATGAAAGTGATATTCAAGATGATATAAAAGATAAAATTAAAGATATGTTTCAACACAGTTATTCTTTTTTTGAAAATATTCATAATTCCATTAATGGTAGTCTTCGAAATACGTATTCAAGAAATATATATTTTCAACAAAATTTTCACATTGTGATGCCTGTACAAATTAATTTAGGAATTGATAACAATCACAAACAACGTTTTTATTATTATATTCCAATTATCAAAACTATTAAGGTTTTATTACAAAATTCTGATATTCAACACTTTTGTTTAAATTTATTTCAGATTTATAATAGTAATGCGCTCTTTGATATTAAAGATGGTAGTGTAATAAAAAACAATAATTTCTTTCGTAATAATAAATATACATTACAAATTTTATTGTATCAAGATGCATTTGAAATATGTAATCCTTTGGGTTCAGCCAAAAAAAAATTTAAACTTGTTGGCGTATATATGGTGCTAGGAAATTTACCCCCTTATCTCAGATCAAAAGTTGATAATATACAGCTTGTTATGTTATGCTATGAAAAACATGTAACATTTTTTGGTTGGGAAAAAATAATGGAATATCTTATAAATGATTTAAAATGTTTAGAAAATGGAGGAATAGATATTAATGTTGATAATAAAACAATAAATTTTGTTGGCACTGTTGTTGCTATGTTGGGAGATAATTTAGGAAGCCATCAAATTGGTGGTATTACCGAAAATTTTAATTCTGAATATTTTTGTCGTTTTTGTGATATAACTCAAAATGAATTCCAATCAAAGTATGCATGTACTAATATAAACAGAAATTCAGATAATTACAATTTGTGTGTCACACAAGCAAAAAATATCATGAAAGCTGTAAAAGGAATAAAAAATGATTCGCCTCTGAATAAACTTAATTATTTTCACATTTGTAATCCAGGATTACCACCCTGCATAGCACATGATCTTTTTGAAGGAATCGTTTCATATGATCTTATATATTGTATAAAATATTTTGTGAAAGAAGGTTGGTTTCCTTATCAATTTCTAAATTATAGATTGCAAAAAATGAAGTTTTTGTACGAAAATGTACGTAATTGTATTCCTCTTATAAGAGATTCAACTAAAATTGCAGGCACTGCAAGTCAAATCAGAAAAATATTATTAATATTTCCCTTAGCAATCTTTGATGTAGTTAAGAATATTAAGGATGATGTTTGGATATTAATGTTATATCTTCGAGAAAT